TGCTCTTTCCACATGCTACTCGTCATTTTGTCAGATCTACGTCACTGCATATGCACACAACTTCCTATTTTCAGTTTTCAATCTGTTCAGCCATGTCTGCATAATTGGTTAAGAAAATGTTTAAACCACAACTTCTGATTAAAAATCTAATGGATAGAGTTCAGTCGGATCAGTTAAAATGCTTATTTGTAATCAAAATATGCCAATAATCTGATTACTAAAATCATTTGGTTGCATGTAAAGAGTCAGTTTGGGAAAAACTGCATGCATTGTTTTTTTGTCAGGTTGCATGCTAGGTTAGTTTGTCCAATAGAAAAAAAGATTATAACAAAAACACTGCCAATAGCTCACACAGAAGTCACTTTTAAAATCATTCAGCTTGTCTTTTTGTCATAGCAGAGAACATCAGAAACATTAATGCAATCTCCCAATCGTGCATTACTTTGCAAAATGTTTAGTGGCAATCAAAATGTCACTGAAATGTTGCTCATGTAAGCACATCTTAAAACAGTTTAGGATTGTGTATAATGTGAAAAGTATTTGTTAACCCTGGATTAATTACAAGGCATGTCAAATATGAGCAAGAAAATCCAGGATTTGGAGTTTAGAATCCAGGGTCATCCAGTTCAGGGGTTAAAACAAACTCAAAAAACTGTTCTTGTAATATACTTGGCAAAAAAGCATCAGCTCAGTGACAATAAACATTGAGCAATAATTATGTGCATTTAAGAGACTGTCACAACTGGAGGTTTGTCTCTGTACTGGGAAGTTCTCCAGCAGGAGAACCGCTTGCATATTCATTGTTTAATGGCTTCATGCACCTTCAGGCAGTTCAGCCATAACATGATGCAGCTGTGCTTGTTGGCACACAGCAGCTTCTCAGTGTGGCTGCCTCACAAACCAAAACAAAGCTTTACAAACGCTCCTACCTACCGTTAAATTGCTCATCTTTCATCTACAGTGTTAAGTGTCCTCATTGTTTGTTCTGTAACCTACAAAAGATTTTAGTTATTGTAATTGTTAGTACATCCCCCCCTTTTAAGATAAATTGCTGGTTTGTCTGATGTGCTAATGTGTTTAAGTATCATTAATTTATAAGTTCCTTATAAACTGCTTCTTAATTTACTTATATTTCTTTTAGGCGTAATGTGGCTTCACATCAAATTTTTTTTCTGTTTAATGATAGTAGGATCGACATCTTTCTTGATGCTATGAAGTGAATTTTGTAACCTAACTGAGCTTTAACTGATGTGAAGGAATGAGAAATTGATTAAATGTGAATATGTCATTTGTGTGAGGAGCTTGCATTATACTTTTACTAATATGAAATTAAATTCATAAAATATTCAAACATCAGATTCACCCCTTAGACACTTTAAGCCTCTACCAGTCTTACAAAAGTCTGTGAGAGTGTGGGAGATCCAGCACTGGAAGATATTTGGAAAAAGTTGACTCATTTTCAGGCGTAGGTGAAACGTAAAGTAAAGTGAAACGTAAAGTTTGTCATTGAAGTGGTTTTGAAAGACTTTGATGGCTGCATATTGATTAAAAATACAGTTATATATGAACTGTGTAATGTATGGACATGGAACAATTGTTCACTTTATAGACTTAAGGTTTGTCTTTTTCATTTACAAAGTAAAGAGGCAGGCGACACGGTGGCGCAGTAGGTAGTGCTGTCGCCTCACAGCAAGCAGGTTACTGGTTCAAGTCCCAGCTGGGCCAGTTGGCATTTCTGTGTTGGTGTGGGTTTCCTCCGGGTGCTCCAGTTTCCCCCACAGTCCAAAGACATGCTGTAAGTGAATTGGGTAAACTAAATTGGCTGTAGTGTATGAGTGTGAATGTGAGAGTGTATGGGTGTTTCCCAGTACTGGGTCGCAGCTGGAAAGCTGCATTTTAAAGAAACTTCCCAAAAATGAAAATAAAATTATGTTTTGAAGTATTAACACAGATTAAATTAACAGATTTCAATATTCTATAAATTTTCAAGATTTACAGCGCGGTTACATATTTTATATTTATATCAACTGGATGAGGAAGGTTTATGGATAGCATGCAGTCGAGTCAACCTGTCCCATCTCTGACTTCCTCAGGCCTGAGGTAGCATTAAGAGCAGGAAGTTGTAAAAATCACACGGTAGTGCTCTCTAGACAAAAGAGGATCTGCTACTGTGTGCTCAATCGGTGTTCCCACAGTCACCATATAGCACACTCTCTTTACAGTCGGTCCCAATTTACCACATCACTCGCAATTCACAGGAGCAGTTGTTTTTTACTGTCATTTCCCACCTATTGCTGGGCTTTACTGCAGACGTCACCCATTGAGTTATTGTCAGACTCAGACAGTTAGTCTCTAATGATCTGAGCATCCAAAGTGCTGGAGTTTACACCTCTAAACATGCAGAGATGTGGCAGTGTTACCTGCATGCATATTTATGACACAGGTAATTATTATTTTACAAATAGCTTGTTTTAAAGCAGTAAAATAATGCTGTAATATTTCTTACAGATGCTATCTATATCATTCCTCTACATGAAACAGTATCAATTTTTGTCTTGTTTTCTGGTAAGGGTTATCATGACAAAAGCCAGACAAGGTTAATATACACTTAGACACATATACAGCATCCTTTCAACTAGAGTTCACCTGTAGCAGGTGGAGGTAAAATAAGCCAACACACCTGGATATTGAGCAGCTGCATTGATTCACAAAACCACGGCTGTAACAGTTCACCAGCTCAACCGCTCAGTTTCTCATTTCTAGTGCTCTGTGTTGAAAAAGATGGTATCTTCCAACAATTCTCAGCACAATATTATCAAAAGTCATGACCATTTTTCATGATTTTGTAGACAACATTCATTCGTTCAATTTCTTTTCCGCTCAGTCCCTTTATTAATCTGGAGTCGCCACAGCGGAATGAACCCCCAACTCATCCAGCAAATGTTTTACACAGCAGATGCCCATCCAGCTGTAACCCATTACTGGGAAACTCCCATACACACCTATACACACATACACTACACTAATTTAGCTTACCAAATTTATGTATACCACATGTTTTTGAACTTGTAGGGAAAACCAGAGTACCCGGTAGAAACCCACATGAACACATGGAAAACAAGCAAACTCCACACAGAAACGCTAACTGACCCAGCCGAGGCTCAAACCAGTGTCCTTTTGCTGTGAGGCAATCGTGCTACCCACTGCGCTACTGCGTCACCATGTAGACAACAGTAACAGTAACCAAGCAATTACTTATCCACACTGTACCAATAATTTTGGGGTTGTAGACTCAGCTGTCACTAAAGGCACACATTTGTGCTCTTTTGTGCTAAAAATGTACTTTAAGGTACCAATATGGACTTTAAAAGGACAAATGTGTACATTTTATAAAAGATACTTCCCCGCTGACAGCTTTTGGGCTTTTATTGCTGACAGTGTGCAATTGACTAACCAGGCTTCATTTATTTTGTAAATTTGTATTTGGAAATATTATTATAATTATCAAAATAATATTTTAAACACTCTAGAATTATTGATTCCTTTAAACCAAACTTGAACAAATCCAACTATTAGGGTTAGAAATTTAATTAGTTTGGTTGGTCCATATTTTACTTAAATTTAGGTTGAAACTCAGCCGTTTTAAAGTGTATGTAAATATATTTTAAAATGTAATTTTGTCCTGTGATGGAATTTACATGACCTTTCTAACGGTTTAAATGTTTTATTGAACATTCGATTACTGAAGGGATTTGTTTTTGGATTTTAAGTAATCTTAAACAGAAATCTCACCTGCCAACATTTTGAACTTTAGTGTGTGTCTAATTATATTCATACATTTTATGTAGGGCTGGGCGATTAATCAAAAAGTAGTCAACATTCAGAACCTATAATCGATCTTCCAGGTCAATTCTTTTTAAATTACTTTCTCTACAGCGTGTGGAGTCACGTGACCCCACTCTGTTAAGATTGATTCATAATTCTGCGACCACATCTGATCTCTCTTCAAGTAGGATGATGGACTCATTTTTTAGCCTTAATTTGCACTACATTGATGACTATTGGAAGCTGCGTCAGAGATGCCTTGAGAAGGCACATTTTCCATTACATTAAAATTATTTACATTAAAATATTTGTTTACCAAAGATACAAGAAATGTTTGAAATATAACTTACAGGATATACAGAGTTTTCTTTTATTTCAGAAGAGATACTGCTTATTTTCTACTTTTAATATGAAGAACACTGAAAATAATTTATTTTGTTTACAAAACTGCAAGTTATTTATCTTAACTTTTTTTTCATAGGAAAAGTTAGTTTCAGGCAATGTGTGTTTAATTTCAGTTGTTCAACATTGATGTTCAATAGATAATCATAGATAGTAGACAGTGTTTGTTTCCTTTAGTTATTTTAAAATCAAGTAATGCACCCTTCATTCAGAAATCTCTCACTTGTAATATGTAGGCATATTTACTGTACAAAAACTGTCAGTGAACTAGGGCAGAAAAAAATGTTCATTAATTGTAATTGAGTTAAAATGTTTAATTAATCACAGTTTCGATTTTGTGCCAAATCGCCCAGCATAGTTTTACGTGTGGCTTAAGTATATTTTCTGCATTATTTCAGGCTGTTCATTTGCAGGCTTTTATTAGAGCATGGTGTAGCTCAGGAGTCTCAGACACCCACTCCTGTCTAGCTGTTGATGTTTTGTCTGGTTATACAGGCTGTTTGATTTTTAGATGGTTCAAGATCATAATTCAGCAGGTTGTGTCTAGCATGGAGTATAATGACAGGAGCTTTGTGTCTGTAAGTTGATAAGTAGTCTTTAAGATTACAGTGCTGTTTGGCCAACAGGTTGGTGTTAAACTGTGACAAAAGTGTTGGTGTGAATTACTAGAGTTGTGTTAGCTCTAAATGCTTGAGGATGCTAATGAGTAAAGCACTAATTCCACAGTCCTATTACTGTTGTTGATGTTTATCAGGCAAAGAAAAAGGCAGAAATACATTACATAAAATGTTTCCATAAATATTTTAATAGTCCATATTGTCATATATATTTTGGAAAGCATATGTACATGGGTTTGTATCAGTGTTCAGGTGCAAAACAGTCATTATGAAAAATTAACAAACTTATTTGTTTAGAAAAGTAAGCAAAACTTTTAACTATAATACAAAAAGATTACAACAAAACAGCTCTTCAATCCTGATGTTTTTCCAGTTCTGAATAAGTTTACAGATGCATAAATACAACAGCTTTAAACTTTCAGTGTATGGGCAAAACCATCTTCAAAATGTATTTTTTCTTATCCCAGAGAGAACAAGTCAGTTAGTCATTCAGGTCTGGAATGACACAGGAGTGTAAACGATAAACAAATTTCATTTCTGCGTAGCCTATTGCTTTTAATATGGCAAAGACGCTTCTGTCCTATCATCCTGAAGCACTGCCAAAGGTTTGGGGTTGTAGGCCTGTCCTAGCTCCCCCTCTAGGTTTAAGCAGGTGGTCCGGTCTCCATTGCAGGCATTGAGGACAGTGGCATCCTACTGGATGATGCATTGTCTGGACGGGGGAATAGAGAGCTGGTTGTGGAAGACCACCTAACCAGGGGTAGGTCGATGGAGGCAGGTGCAAAGTATCCACTGGCCTTGTGGTGGCGCTGTAGGGGGTTGAAAACCCAGAGAGACTACCCATGCCCAAATGAGAGTATAGATGAATGGGTAAGCGGGGCAGCAGTGGGTAGGGAAGAGCAGCAGCCGTCTGACCCACCATGAAGGCACACAGGTTCGGGTCCAGTGGATTTGGCCAGTGTAGACTGTGACGTTGTCTCTTGTCCTTCATTCTCCGGTTCTGGAACCAGACCTGTAGTTAAACAAATAAATATAGTGTCTTAGTGAAGGAAAGTTGGTGGGATTAGGTAATGGTCGATTTACAATTAAAGTTTTGGTTTCAGGATTGGGATATAGTTGGGATATAGTTCAGTTGTCTGATTTTATAGCTTAACTGGTTGTCTGTAACCCTAAGTTTAACAAAACACACAAACAATGATCTCTTAAACTTAAAGTTTAAATTGGAGGACTTTTCTTAAATTAATTCTGAAATGAGCACCTTTAATAGTACATTACTTTTAAATGCAGCTGGAAGGCTGTATAATTTTATCCATAATTTTTGTTAGGCCAGAGGTTGCATGGTGCATGAAAAGATCTGAATCGTGAATTACCTTTATTGTGGTCTCGGGCAAGTTAAGGGCTGCCGCCAGTTCGCATCGCCTGGGTCGAGACACGTAACTTTCTTTGCAGTATTCTTGCTCAAGACGAGTCAGCTGTTCCCTCGTGAAAGCTGTCCGGTGCCGCCGACTTTGGTCGATACCATTCAGTAGTGAAATACGAGGGCATTCTTCCTCTCCTTGGTCACTGTCAGCATGAGCAACAGTAGACACTGGTGACTCCCTGTCCTCTGCTACTGAAAAGAATATTTTACATTAGGCAATGCCTTACTTGACGTATAGCTTTGTAACAATTACAGTCAGAAAGACTGATTTGTGCTGTAAACTCACAAAGTTAATTCACTAAGTAAATTAACTCGCTGGACAGATTTTGATTCTGTACAGTAAGCTTTTTTTACTAATTAAAAAGTGCATTAATCTAGCTGTTATAATATGGATGCTGTAGGCTACTTACGCATTTTGTCGTTAGGATCCACTTCCGCAATCCAAATACTCCTGTAATTGATTTTCACTAATTTCTCATAGTCCTCAAAACACTCCCAAACCAGGCCCTACTAAAAAAATAGCAATTCTCTCTCGTCACTGTTTCTCTTCCAAGCCAAGTTCGTTTATGAAAGGAAAGATGAGTTGTTTTTGTAGTCGCTGTCCACCCCCCTCCTCCCTCACCTCTGCATCTTTCAGGTCGTCCCATCTTGTTACTAATGAGAGACGCACTCTATCCGCTGAGGCGCCGCCGGGGCGCGCGGACAGAGGGAGGTGTTAAATTGTCTTTGGTCTCCGACTGGCCTTTGTACTTTTTTGTTATGTAGAATTAAGATCGACCTCCCTTTGCATACTGTCACAGTGGCTTCCCCGTTGAGATAGGCCAACCCTGATTGTTCCATGGCGTTTGATGTTTGTATTTTTGGAAGTCAATCATTAGAATCCTAATGTGCCTAAATTGTAGAGGTCTACAGATTGTAATAGAGAAGAAAGCTTTTCTGGAGGGTATAAATGTATACGTGAAGTAAGAATAGAAAGTTAATTAGTTGAAAATTGTCAGAAAACATGAGCATTTCTTAATTTTAAAATAAACTAATTACACTTTCAGATCACCCATGCTGCCATTGCATTTAACATAGGTTTTCAAATTGAACTACAACTGCTTTCTTAGATATGGCTGAAAGCAAAGAGTTGGCTCATGATACCTAAATCTGACCGTATTTCTTTTTGCTACTTTTTATGAAGGTCACTTGAGTCCAGTATTGTTTAGACCCCAATGACAGTGCATAAGCAAAACAGTTATTCACAACCCCTTTCAGAAATACTTGAGTATAGGCTGTCTTGTTCATTATATTGTCCTTGTTTGATTGATTAATCCAAAATTAGATTTATATGTCACTGAGATTATTGTTTATGCATTTACTTATTTGTTATTATTTGGTTTGGTAAGTTTGGTTGCTTTAAGTAGACCTATATGCATCATTTACCAACAATTTAAATCAACATTTTGATTAATCTACAATTCTCGTCCTTTTTATTGATAACTTTATATGTATTTTCTATATATTTTTAAATAGCCTTTTGTATTTCGAGTATTTCAACATCAGCTTTCACGATATATATATATATATATATATATATATATATATATATATATATATATATATATATATATATATATATATATATATATATATATATATATTTATTTTTTGCAGTTCTAATTTAGCATAAAAATGTAACATTAAAAAAAAAAGTTGTTTATCCCGTTTGCAGTCTCGGCCATGATGCTTTTATCCATGGCGGTTCAGATTAGCCCGATATCAAGTTGATGGCTGTATTGTTATACACCACTGCTTTGATCGCTTGCAGGTTAAGGGAGAGGCTCCACCGAGGCTGTAGCTTGCAGTGGCGCATATATTGAGAAGGGGTGACAGACGTTTTCATGAACAGACAAGACATATATACTGTGTCTTTATTTAAAACGTTCTGATACTCAGTTTATCAGTAAATGAATCAAGTAAACAAAACATAATATTGTATGTATCTATTGAGTAAATAAATCTGATTATCGTCAACACGTTGACCAAGAAACACAGTTTGGTATGTTTACAGTATGTTTGAGATTCCCAAGAAATCACATTCTTTAATGGCATTGATGGTCCCATGAAGAACTTTTTAACATCCGTGGAATCTTTCCAATGAAGAAAAAGTTCTCCACTTGTGGAAAAGGTTCCTTATTACAAAGTTCTTTCTATCAAAAAAGTAACGAGCGAAGGAAAAGGTTATCTTTTAATGAATGTTTGGCTAAAATATTTTTTGGAGAACGGTTCCAGAATTTTGGAAGAACTGTTTTGTGACTGCACATTTCAACAGATACATTAAAAAATTTTAAAAACTTTTTTCTATATGCATATAATTATTCACTTTATTGGTTGCTTTGTGCTTCATATACGTTTTTTAAACATTTTAGTTTACATTAAACGTTGGCGGTTCATTCTGCTGTGGCGACCTCTGATAAATCAGGGAATAAGCCGAAGGAAAATTAATTAATTAATGTTTAGTTGGTGATTTATTTATGATATTGTGCTGATCGTTCACTGAATTATTTTTTTTTTTTTGTATTTATATGGGTTGAATTTAAACTGTAACTCAATTTGTTTGTTTAAATTAAGCCCAAATGGGTTGTTTACAACCACTTAACGTAAAAATGTAGCAAATGCAAGGAATCATATTTGAATTGTTTTTGAAAACATTCAACAGCTTCTATAATATTTAGGTATTGGATAGAGAAGCCAATTATGCGACATATACATGTGTAAAGTGCATGTATATCCTTCACCATTGTTGCACTTGCTTACTTTGCTGTACAATATAGAGCAAAGATTTAAAATTAAAGTTTAAGTAATTAAAAAAATATATTAAAATAATTGTATTATTGAATGAAGCATGTTGTAGCAAACGGGTGATAAAGATGATGTAGCAAATGGGTCTTGTTCTGTTGTTTGCGTGTCTTTTTTCTCTCTCATCTTCGACCTCGTAAATTTGTTCCCTGTGCGCATCAATGCAGCCGCTGTGATCCTGGTGCACTGCGGCAAATGTATGATCCAGAGGTGCACCTGAACCAACCATTAACGGACTTTAGCGTTCAACATAGTTGCGGACATTACTACATGTACAATTTTGTTTCTGATGCAGAACTCTTCAATCAAAAGGAACGAATTTCTTTGTGTAGATTCTATAGAAAATTTTAAATTGGGTTTTTTTCGTAGCACGTAATTTTTATTTTTCTTATTTTGGCATACAGAAGTAAGAATCACGTCCATTTATCATATTAAGTAGGGTAGCATAAAATAGGGTAGCATGAAATAAAAAGCCTATTTTTATTCATAAATATTACTAAAATAATCTAAAATTACTTTGAGCAATTCCAGCCTTCAGTGTATATAATCATTTTATTTAGTTTAAACATGCATTTCCTATTTTTTGATAAAAGAGTTAACATATTGTAAATATGTTAATCATCAGTTAATCACTTTAAAAAATCAGTTAACATATTTACAGAGCAAATATAGCCTGTTTATCCTCTGTAAAAGTATAGTTATGATTATTTTACTAACAAGTAGTTCATTGATGCAGTATTCAGTGCTTTTTGTACATTTCTATTTTTTCACTGATGATTTATTTTATTTTTTATTTGTTTATCTCTTTTTTTGCGGTCAAAGTCTGTTGGTTGTGTTTTTGTTATGGGTTGAGTTTTTAAATGTCCTGCACCTATTTATAATTAAGAAAAACAAAGTATTACAAGTTTATGACTGCATCATAGGGATCATCACACCTTTAGAAAAAAGCGAAAATTTTACATTTAGAGGCAGAATAGCTTGTCAAAGTGGCAATAATCTCAGCAGCACATTTTCATAACTTATTTATCCCTTAACAACTATTAATTTCTATTAATAGCTTACTGTTCATAGTAGTTTTACTAATTTAAGGTAGGCACCTAAATATTTAAGAAAAAATAAGGTATAAATCTGTATGTTCTACTCCTCTTACAAGCAGTTTTGAGATATTATTCTGACAGTGGAATTGAATAATTGTATTATTATTATAAATATAATGATTCATTCATTCATTTATTTTCTTGTCGGCGTGGTCCCTTTATTAATCCGGGGTCGCCACAATGGAATGATCCGCCAACTTATCCAGCAAGTTTTTACGCAGTGGATGCCCTTCCAGCCGCAACCCATCCCTGGGAAAGTATAATTATTATACTGTAGTAAATAGGATATTGCAGACATTTAAGTTTTATAAATACATTTAAATAAAGGAACTTTTGTCATTGAGGCTACAAAATAAAACTCTTAGTGAAAAATGCTACCTTTTTTGTTGCAATAGAACATCAGATATTTAAGGTTATTCACTAGAACCAACCAAACAACAAACTAACAAACAAACAAAATGTTTTAATGTTTTAATGGTCTGGGAATCTGTTTTGGATATATATGTGATATTTGTTGTCTATTTTTTTTATTTGGAACCCAAGAGCAGTAGACAAATGTTTATTAAAATGTACATCATTTAGAAAACATTCTGCTCATATCTCCATATCTTTTTGCAAGGTTTTCATTTTGCTTTTTAAATTTGCAATTCAGATAACTTGACCCTAATTGCTAAACATTTAACAGTACAAACATTATATCCATTACATTACGGTATATCCATTTTTTTCCACAGAATTGGTCTTTTCACAGTAATTTAAGGCACATATATCTAAACTCCTAAATGTAGACATTTCTTTTCCACACATTACTATTATTTCTTCATATTGAAAAAATATTTGTAGAAAGATATCTGTATAAGGTCAAATCGTATGTACTTTCTTTTTTCTATTTAACTTTAAGGATTTCAGTTATCTTGACTAAACTTACATTGGATTTTAAAGAGGTAATTTAATTTCTTACCATCTACTGAACAGATAAGGAGTAAGATGCTCCCAGGGACAAGATATCAGCACATCATTTTGTAATTTCACTTGAATGTCAAGTTTAAGTCTGTCAAACATTCATTCATTCATTTTCTTTTTGGCTTAGACCCTTTATTAATCAGGGTTTACCACAGCTGAATGAGCCGCCAACTTATCCAGCATATGTTTTACACAGCGGATGCCCTTTTAGCTGCAACCCAGCACAGGGAAACATCCATACACGCTCATTCACACACTATACATTCATTTCACACAGTTTAGCCTTGCCAATTCACCTATATCGCATATCTTTGAGCTTGTGGGAGAAACCGGAGTATCCGGAGGAAACCTACGTGAACACAGGGAGAACATGCAAACTCCACACAGAAATGCCAACCTGAACCAGCGACCTTCTTGCTGTATGATGCACGTACTACCCACTGTGCCACCGGCTGTCTGTCTGTGAGATTTGTTTTTATTTTACATGAACTTTTTTTAAAATCTAAGATAGTTGTTCATGACATTTTAATATTTATAAAATGTAGTTTGTCTCTGTTTGTTAATGTAGGTTTAGTGGACAGTTCATGTTTTCAGATTTGTGTGCTAACAAAGATTTTATTAAAGTTTTTTTTATTATTATTATTATTATTAAGTTTTTATTTTTTATGAAAATTTTGGGGTTAGACAGGCTTCAGAAAATTGGCACGTATAGGGAGCCAGGTGCTTTGTCATTTCTAGTGTTACTCTTGTACGGGGGACCTGTTGATGTTGTCTGTGATCATTATTCAATTGTTCAACTGAATTGTCAATATAGAATTTTAAAAAGAAGAGTTGATTTCTAGAATATAGTTAATTATTTATATCACATGCATATTACATAAAAAGTTATTTATTCTATATGTTTCTTATGCCAGTACAGACCCTCTTACTTGACATTTTATGATACAACAGGTAAAAAAGCACAATGGCTGATGCATCAGCAACTTGCTAAAGATACAGTTTAAAAGTAAATTCACATTGTATGGGGCATCTTCAGTGTTACCCTGGATTGCACAAATCAGCCTTTTGGAAAGATTCATACATGGACCTTGTCCTTTATCTAACTGTAAATGGATGAATAACAGCAATAACATATACTGACCATTGTTAAGCAAAGCAATGTAAAATATAAGGTAAAAAGGGTTGAAACCCAGATCCCTGTGCACACTGACCAAGAAAGCTGCTGATGCAAAGATTATTAAAGTACGCCATGGTTAAAGATTTTTGACTTAAGGCGATCGAGTTTATGATGGGAGCTTTACTCATGGCCTGGAGTATATCCCTTAATAATGTGTTCTAAAATTATCACCACACAAAGTTTAATGTTGTCATGACAGTATTTGGTATACAGGGCTCAGCACAATTGAGTACACTTCATTTTGAAAATGAATATTTGTATCCATTTGTCAGCGACTATAGTCAATGCATTTTTGGTGCATTTAAACAAAACTGATTTATTAAAAAGATATATTTATTTAAATAGCATTTTAGTCTCCAAACATATTTAGAAATTGAAAGATAATACAATGAAATTCAAGAAAATATTGAAAAAAATTACAACCTACAAAACCTAAAGTAAAAGTTATTTTTTTTTTGGTTTCTTTAGATTTTTCCTCTTTTTTTTAAAAAAAAATGTGTATTTAATGTTTTTCTATAACATAGATTTGGCTGTACTAGTTTTTTGACTGTTCTCGTAAGTTATTTTGTTAGATAAGCTCCAGATTTGGCTTCAGTACTAAATAATCTAATGCACATGCACAAATGTAATATTTATAGCTTCCTATTAAAAATATGAATCTAAAAGATATTTGTGAGGAGTGTACTTATATATGCTGAGCACTGTATAAGTGGATGCAATATTTGTTAATTTAGCCGATTTAAAATCATATTTCAAATTCTGAGGCTATTCGAAATTGTTAAAGAGAAAAGATGCGATAAGCTTTGTTAAGAACAGTAATATATCCGTGCGCACACCAACATTCGCATCATCATCACTGTAGCAAACTCTTGTATAAAGAATTTTCTTAGTTCTGTTGGAGGTCAATGCATCATTGTGATTATAATTATAATATATGAAGTTTTTTGTTACCCCTAGTTTACTGGTGCAGATTAGACCTGCCATTGAAGTCAGAAGAACATAATGAGAGGATCCCGCTCATTTAAAGAATAGTCATTGGCTCACATTATTAATTATTTACACTATTACATGGTAGGCCTATATAATAAATTAATAATTATGAAATGTAGGCTATATTACGATATGTCCTTATGTAACTACAGTTAATTAATGTAATTAAACAAAAGTTATCTCTTTTCATCTAAATTTAGCATTGTGCGAATAATGCAACCCTTTATTCTCATATGATCAATAATATTTACTAAAATGTATAATATATTATATATAATTTAAATTTCAATTTTAATTAATGTTGAAAATTAGATTTTATTTAAAATAAACCGTGACAGTTTGACCATGACTTTGGCCGTTTTTATGTAATTTGTTTATGCTTAGATAAAGTGAAATGTGCTTTTCGCTTACTTGCAGATTTTTTAACCTTTTACAAATTGCTTTGTACAACTCAGTAAATGTCTTTTTTTTTGTTTTTATATATTTTGAGAAAGATAAAATTGATTACTTTTTCAAAATTCTAAATGACAATAAACGGGAGACAGTTGGTCAAAAGTTATTTCAAGGACACTTTCCAGAGTTTGTTGGGCTTTGCTAATAATCTCCAGAATTATTTGCCGTTTGTAATCCGTATGAACATTTCAGCTATTCAAATCTTAGTTAAAATACTTTCATCATTTACTCACCCTCAAGTCGTTGCGAAGATTAATCCATTTCTTTTTTTCCGTTTATGACAAAATGCGATATTTAAAAAAAATATGCTTTAGTGTTATTTGCTCATGTGGTGTAATTCAACTGGGCTCAATGTCGTTTGAACCACAATATAATTTTTTTTCCACAGTAGAGCAGACGGTTGGAACGACATGAGGGGTAGTTTGATGTCAAAATATTTTTACAATATGGCAATAGCCATAAAATATTTCGTTTTTCTAAGGTATGAACTGTGTGGCTCGCTGACGCACAAAGCAGGGCAAATTGCACAACACACTCTATTTTCCATAAAGATGTTGAGTTTTACACACAACTTTGCTTTGTTGTAACAAATGCATTGCGTACAAATCGTCTATGTAGAAAAATAGCAATAATGGTTAGAGATTAACAAAGTGTAATACTGGAGGTGTTCATTTTATAACATTTATTGATGTGTTTGATATGGATATCAATAGGGCGAATTAGCAGAATGAAGAACGTCTTGTTTCGTTTAAAATATCTGCAGAATTATTTGTTCTAGTATAGACTATAGTCTATAGTCAATGTGCAGCCAGCATGTGTTTAGCTGCTAAAAGATTCTCGTTTGTTTTAGCTATAAACCAGCACAAATTCACTTGTTAGGCTAAACAAGTACACATTTAATCCGTTAAGAAACTTATATTCCAGCCAATATTCCGTACAACGTTGTTCGCGCATTCATGTTTGCGTCGTGAGTGGTTTTAATGAAAGTATATTTAAAGTATAATTTGCTCTTAGGTTTTATCACGTCGGATTTTAGTATGGTATTAAAATGCTGATTATAGAACTTACCCTGTTCATAATGAATTTGTGCCGTCTTCAGAAGATGCAGGCTAAGCTAATTCATCCTGGACGGACTGTACACACAGTTTCTTGTAGGACCCCTTGTACGTGGGCAGGGCTTTTTACAATTAAACCATTAAGGCATTTCCTGGGTACAGTAGCTGCCTCTTACAAGCACAACATGTGTTGTGAGGCTGCTGAGCCCTGTCTACTAACAGAAAAACTCGTGTCTTTAACCCAGAGGAACAGCTGTGCAGTGGTAATGGGAATGCATTGATGATTCAGTGTTTAAACAACATGGACTGTGATTCATTTTCGTTTTAATTTGTGACAGAGCAGTACAATATCAAGTCATTTAAATAGCATTTTCAGAGCGGTTGAGTCATTTCTTTTAGCCGCAGGCCGCTTTATTATTCCAGCTCGAACCAAGAAACCTTGAACTTGAGTAGTTTGCCTAAGGAGAGACTGCGTCTATCATTGCCTTCTAAACTGGCCCTTCAGGGAGGGCTATACTCATCCCTTTAAACTTGGCCTTGACCTTGAGGGCCATGCCTGACCTCTATGTAAAGACTGCAGTCTGGGGAGGTGTCTGTGTGCGTGTGTGCGTTTGTGTATATGTGTGTGTGTGTGTGGTGATTAAAGAGGAAGAGTCTTATTTCTTATACAAATCAATTTTCCACAAACTATGACATGTGCATTCAATCTTTTTCTGAAAATATTTTAGATAAGCATAAAAATCAACGTGAAAGCAATGAGTAAATATAATTTACTTGTTAAACATTAGTGTAGTTATTATTATTATTATTATTATTATTATTATTATTATTATTATTATTATTATTATTAAAGTTGCCTGTGTAATTGCTTTATGTGCTTTATTAGTCACATTAAGTTTTTTTTGTCTTAATAGTGTTACGACCTTAAATGTCTAGGGCTGAGGTTGAACATAAAGTTAAAGAAAATAAATAAATAAACTGTCAGAAGGTTATGATTGAAATTACCTTAAAGTTTCTTTTATTGTGAGAAGGCGGAAAAGGTTTGCATTAACAAAAAAAAAAAAAAAAGCGCAAACAAAAATAGCTTCAGGGCTGAGCAAGGCCAAAACAATAAACAAAACATTAGCTAACTCCACCCCAAATAGTTTGGTATTGGGTATTTGCTTAGGCGAATGTCTCTCGAGTTTTAATTCTGTTTATACACATTTTGTCCTTAATTATCTTGTTCACGCATCCAGATTTTCAAATTTAAAACACTGACTACTCTACTCTTTTCTGACGGAAAAGTGTCACATTTTATTATTTGCTCATTTATATATATAAATATATATATATATATATATATATATATATATATATATATATATATATATATATATATATATATATATATATATATATATATATATATATATATATATATATATATATATATATATAATGTGTGTGCGTGTGTGTGTGTGTGTGTGTGTGTGTGTGTGTGTATGTGTATTTCTGGGTAACCTCATGACTAAATGTAATATTAAAACGAGCGCATAACTGTTTTATTTATTAACAATAAGATATCTGTGAGAATTTATACATTTTGTGATTTGTTCTGTAATTTTAAGAATAAATAATTTGTGACATATAGTTAAACTTCTCAAAAGCATATTGGAGAAGCAAACGTTTGAGTGATAACTGAACAGGGAACCATTTTGAAAGTGTTTGCCTCTTTATTCCAGCGGCGTGTTTCAAGTATAGGCAATGACTTTTCATAAAATAGTACGAGGCGTTCTTCAAGCTGATGTATGAAACAAGTTATGATTTTTCATTTTTATGGTAATGATAAATAATTTATACATTTGGCACAGTTGATTATAGGCCTTTAAAGTGTCTGTAATGATTTAATGACATACCAACGTGTACTTGGCCAATGTGTAATTAAATCTTAAATAAAAAGTATGACCTATTTAAACATCTCTATTGCATTTTATAATCAGGTGGTGAGAGAAATCGTTATAATGTTTGATGATTGGCAAGAGAGTCGCCATGAATGTATCTATACAGATTATATTTTTTAAAGTTAGTGCGGAGACAGTGTATGTCAACAACACTGAACAAAGTTTTATGAACAAATAAAACTTACAAATTTTGAATATATTTTTAAAATATATTTTAATCATATTTGTTGAGTAAATAATTCATAATTCAATATATGTATGGCTGCAATGACTTAAAAGTAAAATAAAAAACAGGTAAAGGTCAAATAGTTATCACTCTACCTCAGCGATCTAAGAAAAACATGTACTAGTGTATTCATGTATATAGGCAATGCAACAATGCAGTGTTTGAAAATTACTTTTGGATATTTAATCCGGGCTTGACAAAGAAAAAAAAAATTGACATTCTTCACCCAAGGTTTATTTTATACGTCACGTGGTACTGCTCTCATCCAATGAAGGCGCTGCAATACAGACTGTAGTCCATTGCGTCAATGCAGCTGTACCAATGTAACTGAGTGTCCTGCTTTGGACTGGAGTCTTTGCAACATAATTTTCCGTCCGAATGGTGAGCGTGCTATGACCACCTCCCTGGTCCTGAATCCTCGCTGGGCAGACACGGTTATGTTTGTATATGAAAACAACTTGGATGAGCTGAAGAATATGGAGGGTTTGGTTGGAAGCGGCAATTTTGCAGCCAACCAGTGCAGGAATCTGATGGCCCACTCGGCGTTGAGTGGTCACCCGTCTAGCCTTGTCCATGGCTCCAGCTATCCCACTGTGGACGTATCGACTTCAAGTTCGGCGGAGTCGGGAAAGCAGTGCACACCTTGCCCAACAGTTCCACAGGCCTCGTCCACAGGTCCCATCCCGTACGGCTACTTTGGCAACAGCTATTATCCTTGCAGAATGGGGCGGGGTTCCCTCAAATCCTGCACGCAGCCGAGTGCACTCAGCTACACTGCAGAAAAATACATGGATACCCCGGTCACGTCTGAAGAATATCCTACCAGGGCTAAAGAGTTTGCTTTTTACCACAGCTATCCCAGTCCTTATCAGTCCATGGCCAGTTATTTGGATGTGTCAGTTGTACAGACGCTTGGAACTGGGGAGCCGCGACACGATAGTCTCCTGCCAATGGACAGCTACCAACCGTGGGCACTGGCTAACGGATGGGGTAGTCAGATGTACTGTTCCAAGGACCAGGGCCAGGCGGGTCATCTCTGGAAGTCTGCATTAGCAGGTAAAATGTTTATATTTGATGACTACGCTAATAATGATGATGCTGATAATAATAATAATAATAATGATGATGATGATGATGATGATGATGATGATGATGATGATGATGATGATAATAATAATAATAATAATAACAACAACATATTGTTAAATGTTAAAATATCCAGTTTTCAGAAATCTCTCTCTCTCTCTGTATTCATGGTCAGACAAAAGGCAAATTGTACTTTATATGAAGTTTTGAAGTAAAAAGAAGCAACAGTGTCATTTAACTACTAAAGCACACAAAATAAAAATCAGCTTGCAATTAAATAATTTTTAAAACGATCTAATTAAAGTGATCAACTCTGAACATCTACAAATACAAAATTTTAAACGTGGTTCAGAAATACACTGAATGAGTCTGAATAATAAACCTTTTTGTTATTCATTCCAGATGTTGTGGCCCACCAACATGACGGGGGCTCATTCCGTCGAGGTAGAAAGAAGCGGATACCTTACACAAAAGTACAACTCAAGGAACTGGAGAAAGAATATGCAGCCAACAAATTCATCACAAAGGACAAGAGGAGAAAGATTTCAGCAGTAACCAACTTATCCGAGCGTCAAATCACAATTTGGTTTCAAAATAGGAGGGTTAAGGAAAAGAAGTTCATTGCCAAAGTTAAAAACACCGCGCCATAGCTTTGAACAACTCATTTGTTTTTCTCGGTGACTTAAAAATTGAGAGAAGTTTTAAAAAGGGAGGACTTTTTTCTTGGACTGGGGGGTTGAATGTTTTCTCCTCTCAGCGCATTTACACCAAACAAATAAATGGATGGATAAAAAAATGAATAAACTTAATAAAATGGAAAAAAACATCGAAGGACAATATAACTTGTAAATAACGCACGTGCCTGCCTATATATGTAACTGTGTTTGTTTGAGTCTTGTAGCTCTCTTTTTGCTTGCATTTAAATGTTAGGTTTGTCAATGTTGTTGTTGTTGCTGTTGTTGTTGTAGTCCCAAAGCTTATACTCAATACCTGCCAATACTTATATATAATGTCTATATCTCTTGTTAAACATAATAACATATACCACAAACCTTAATAAATGTATTAATTCCATTCGCTAAATTCGGTGTTATTTATTAGGCCTAATTTCATTCAATGTTGTGTATTTTCAGTCTTCTGTGGGCAAATTAATCTTATCACTGATGACAGTGTTAAATTAATCTAACTCTTGCAAAATTCTCAGGATTTTAAGTCCTATGCTGTTTTACATCTTGCGTGATTTTAACACGTATTCTAACTCAAAGTACCATGGAAATAAAACCTTCAAAAGAGAATAAAATTATGACAGATTGGAGAAGTTAACAGTCGCTGTAATTTTTAGTATTTAAGAGTGGACAGTGGTTTTAAAACTTAACGGTATGGGATTTGCTTTTCACATTAAGCGAGCGGGGAGTGTTTTGATGATTTCTTTTGGCCGAAAAGGAGAGGGCGCTCGATGACAGAAGATGCACCAAATCAGCTTTTAACCTTGACCTTGAAAGTCAGGATAAAAGATAAGACATATCTTTTTTACATTGCTGTACAACAAACATTCAAGGTTCCAAGATTTCTATCTATCTATCTATCTATCTATCTATCTATCTATCTATCTATCTATCTATCTATCTATCTATCTATCTATCTATCTATCTATCTATCTATCTATGGTTTTTATTCAGAGCGGGATTCTCTTTAGTTTCAATGTAATTGTCTGTAAATTCCCCTTTTCCCAAATGCAGAGTTACCTTTTCCTCACCATTCGCAGATTTATGCACGATGATCTCTTTTTATAGTCTCCATCAGGCCTAATTTACGTTTCTGTTTAAGTCTGAGCAGTTTAATTGTCAGACAGTTAACAGATCAGCAGCCTATTGCCTTTGCAACCTGCACTTAATGTCGGTCGAGATTAGTTAGGGTGTAAAAGGTCCATCGTTACTCAGCGGCTTCACGTTGTCATCTTCGGCAAACCCCAGTCCACTTTTAGGTTCCCTCTTCTTTATTCAAAGTTTGTCAATCGCAAATTCTAAGTCTATAAAAAACGATGTTACATGGATTAATTTAAGTATAAAAATAACTAATTATACTGGTACAGGTTTAATTGTAAATGCAACGGTGAATGGCAAAGTTCTCTAGCAACAGTTCTCTTGCAGAGCGTAAAATCCGATCACAAAGTTTACACATTTCGTGTAAATAGTATATACTAGATTTTGAAAATAGGTGCTGATATATAGTATTATGTATCATTGATAAATATATAGCATTGATAAATATATAGCATTGACTTTCATGTGTGTAATTTGAATAACTACACAACATTCACATGACCAATGTTTGCTGAAGTTGCCGTAGCTCATGGTTGTTTTGTCGTCTTTTCCTTTTTTAACGAAGCATTTCAATTAGCCCTCACAACAAGATCTAACCATTTTAGATGTTCTGAATGAATAAAACCTTTTTGCTTCTGGTGTTTTGTTAGTCTACGTAATATTTAATTCACGACAGTCTCATACTTTTGCCAAAGGATGTCAAACGTTTTGCAAACGTTATCAAATAATATTTTCACAAATTAATAAACGTTACTGTTGTCGTCCTCAGTCAGCCCAGAGGTAGCATAAAGTGTCCCAAGTTCTTATTGCTTCCACTTCTAGTTAACACTGAACTTGACAAATGCATCCAAACAAGCGGTGCGTCGGCGTCTGAGTTTATATTGTGATTTAATAGCGGTTTTATTTTCTCTTTACAAAACGCACAAAGCTCGCCCAGTTTCAACACTAACAATAAAAGTGCCACTTTTGTTGAGAACCAACATTTTTTTGAATGTTGTCGTAAGATATTGCTTTTAAGGTCAAAGAAAACAAACGAGACGAGATTTGTGAATTTTGCCGAATTGCTGAAGAGCATGGGGAAAAGGTATATACCTTTGCAAGGTCATATATATAAACTGTAAATTAAAGCAAGAGGACAATGTTTAAAGACGTATTTTATTTATTTTTATTTTTTTGCTGCCAGTTGCAGCCAGGTTATTTAGGTGAGGAATGTCAGACTTATCTCCAAGTTCATGTCCAGCTTCCCACCCCCACATTATCTTTCGCCTTAGCCCTAAAACACCCCCCCTCCCTTGCATTTCGGATAGACTTTTGTTAAGCGGCGGACTTCACAGTTGAACTTGAGACATCTTGTAAACAGTAAGTAGTCTGGACCTTGTCTGGCCAGTGGTGGTCAATAGACCTGGAGTAACAGGGAGGCCTCCGGAAAAAGAAGAGAGGAAACGACTTTGCACGAAAGGCCCCCAACAACAGAAAATATTCGCATTTAAAGTTGATTTATACATTGGCAGTGTTGTCATGAAAGAGTTGGCGCATAGCCAAACAATTTTGTTCATCTTTGTATTAATAATTGCCTCTTTCAACTACTTACTGGTTAATCTATTTTTTCTAACAATCTGGCATTCAGACTTTAAAGTAAAATAAAATCCCTCTAATTTCGTTGTAATTCTAATTTCGTTGTAATTGTAATTCTCACCAAGCTGTTATGAAATAAATTCCATTAATATAACAAAACAGTAAATGTTTGAATAGTTGTCTTTAACACTTATAAAACGAGGATTTATTTTGTCCTATGATATCTTGTAAAAAAATGATATGCACAATTCTGAGGAGTATATTCTTACCATACTCGCAGTCGCACTGAACAAATCACTCTTCAACTAGTCCTTAAACCCGTGTCTTTAACGCAGAACATACTTTGGTAAATATAACCTGTATCACGTTTCTCAGCATTTTTAAATTTTGCACATTAGGCAAACTACTAAAACATTTGTAATTCTACATATTTAAAGCACATGTAAAATTGCAAATCAAAGCAAGAGTAAAATGTTTAGATAAAAAAAATCTTTTATTTTACAATGTTACGAGGAAGAATTTATTCATCAGGCTAAAACAAAAACAAACGAACAAAAACGTTATATTTGTATTCACTGTTGAAGACTCTTTAGTGTTGCCAACATTTCCATCTAATACATGAGTTATTTTTTTTGGTCTTGAAGTCAGTTCAATAACAGAGCCATTTACGAGGCTCATTTTTTGTTCGTTCATTACCAATGCTGGATATGACTAAGACCAATTAAAGTATTACAGTTTCTAGAAATGGCCTGTTGCTTAAAATGTAATACAATAATATTTGAATGAAAAATAAATCTAGGAAGCCTGCGTATGCTATAGCCTACTGGGAGAAAAGATATGAAAGAAATATGTTCGTGCGAAAAAGAATTATAGAGCGAAGGTAATATATATATATTTAGGAGAAATTTGTTCAACTTTAGGTCTACATGAAAGAAATGAAGTGATTTACATTAGTGATACTGAGCACATGGTTTTGCACATTGCTCCTTTCTTGTTGGAGAGTAATGCCACCCCGCCTAAACAGGCATTAACATAAATGTATGGCAGTAAAATAACCAAATGTATTGGCATGCAACATGCAACTCATGTGTGAAATTTTACAGGGCACTACAATTATGCTGACCTTATAAATCGGAGTTTTGAAAGAAGCTGAGTTCTCTGATACTGTTAGCCCTAATTTATTCCATTATTCTCTGTCACGGAAACTATCGAGACTATCGAGAGCTTTAGTAACGTACAATTATTTTAGGGGCATCGGTATGCTAAAAAACAAAGTTTCATCAACGTTTTTTTTTTACTCGAAACACATTTCTTTCTTTCTTTTTTGTTAACCAGTAAACCGTGGTGACTTTTGTAGCCCTCTTTTTATTTCTGCTATGACAGTGCGAGACTGCTAACCCGGGGTCCAATGAATGCATCATGCTATTACTGTACATATATATTTCTGAAAATATATAACTACTCCCAGCTCAAAGACTTTAGAACACCCGGATGGTTTGTGCAGGGATCTGTAATGGGCAGCTGTTTAAGCCCGTTGGCACTCCAAGGATGCGATCCAGATGTGACCATTCGCGCATAAATGTGACGGTGCCATCTGCAGTGTAGATGTAAAAACCTATAATTGACCACGCCCGCATTAACACTTATACTATTATATATATATAATAATATATAGTTGAAGTCAGAATTATTAGCCCCCCTTAGATTTTTTGTTCTTTTTTACACATTTCCCAAACCATTTTTAGCAGAGCAATGAAATTTTCACAGAATGTCTGATAATATTTTTTTCTTCTGGAGAAAGTCTTATTTGTTTTATTTCGGCTAAAATAAAAGCAGCTTTTAACTTTTAAAAAAAACATTTTAAAGTCAAAATTATTAGCCCCTTTAAGCTGTATTTTTTCTCGACTGTTTACGGAACAAACCATCGTTATACATAAACTCCCCTAATTAACCCAACCTGCGTAGTTAACATAATTAGTCCAGTTAAGCCTTTAAATGTCATTTTAAGCTGTATGAAGTCTTGAAAAATATCTAGTAAAATATCATTTACTTTCATCATAGCAAAGATAAAAGAAATTAGTTAATAGAAATGAGTTATTAAAACTATTATGTTTAGAAATGTTCACATATCCAAAGAAATATCCAAAAAAGTAGCATTTTAATCTACTTCATATACTATCATCTCACGTCATAAGTTGGGTAACTACTATTTTTATTTATATTGTAATAAATCTGGCACTACAAAAACACAATATGTTTGTTTATTTGATTGTTTGTTTGTATACTTTATTGTGCCCTAAGGGGGAAATGTATGTGGAATTTTAACATAGCCCAAGTAAAGAATGAAAAAAAAACATGCACATAAAAACACACGATTTATTTATTTTGTGTAACAAAGACATCATGAGAAATCCCT